TTTGACCTCGAGGTAAACCTGCTAGAGCCTTCCATTCCCACATTTAGGCTGACCTAGGCTTCGGTAACTTACGCCTAGTCCGAGAACAAGTACTTGCGAGCCGAAGCCGCTACTATTACCTACTTCTGCCCTTATAGAGTTCACTCTACCCCAGCCTCTTACTCGTCTAATTGGAAAACCTTCCACCATTTCACCAAACTTCCAATCCAGATAGCCCAGTTTGGTCCACAAGTTACGTTATCCGCTTTCCTACTGGCTTAACCAAATACCGGCCTGTGCCCTTTTCCTTCGGTCGATTTCGGCGGCCTGGTTGGTATAGTGCTCACCAAACACCCGGTCCTCATCCAGATCCACAGCTTATTGGTTCTCTTCTCAGACTTTCCTGAACCGTCGAAAGTAGTGCTACCTCTCTACTTGGCACTTGGCAAGCGGATTCCTATTCAGGACAAAGTCTAACGGATTTACACAGGTCCCGGAGACCCAGGATCTTCCAAGTCTGTACTACCACCCCCGATTAAGTTTGCGAGATAAGCCATCCATTAGGCGATCATTACCCCTTGCACCTATTTGGTCTGACCATCATTACAGGATCTCTATCTCAACACCCGAAATAGTCATCAATGCACAGAAGAATTCGATTTTTCGTCGTTGGTGGGAATTGAACTCTGGATGTGCCACTTGGGAGGGCAACAACTTGACCACTTCACTAAGTCGCCACGCCCACACTATACCTACTACTGAACATGACCTTTTCCTAATAGTAAATAAAAATATTGACAAATATCTTATGAATGCTATTAGTAGTATAATTAAGAATGAGATAACACAGTGTTTGTTTCTTATGCTAATATAATTGAGACAACACCTGATGACCTTAACTCCGAACAAAAAATTGATGAAGAAACATCATGTAGGTTTCTTGAAGATAATTACGATGCATGCAAAATTACTCTTCGGGATATTATAGATGAAGTTGGAAGCGAAAACATAAAAGAAGTCTGGAGAATCTCTGATATCCATAAAGAAAAAAGGACTTAATTAGGCATCATGCCCTGTAAAATAAATATTTTTTGCACCTAGGATGCAATGTGATTATTTATCACTTTTTAGATTAAATTTAATTAAACTATATATATATATATATATTAAAATTTTCAATTCTAATCTTTTTATCATTATATCCAATATTCATTAAATTTGTTAGATTTTATTTGCAGTTTAAGTCTTGTATTATAAAGCGCTTTAAAAAACTATAACTAACTGGGTTGTTCTAAGCTATATGATAATTAGTCTTATACTTATTAAAAATAATAAAACGGCAGTAATAAAGCAATGTGGTACTAGTTATAATATAGCTTGATCAATCAAAGTTTAAGGTCAGATACGTATATCACAAAAAATCAACTTATGAATTGAAACTGCATTTTTGCTCATTCGGAATAACTAATAGTTAAATTTTAGCTATTCAATTATATACTTATTACTTTGACCATCACTAATTATAGCAATAAATAACAAATTGCATATATATAAAACTGCTTTGTCTACATCTAACATTAACTATAACAATATGCGTTAGGAAAGATTTGTACTACAACAAAAGAACTAGACCAATTAGGAAATAAGTCTGCATAACCTTATTCTAATTTTGGTGTTTCTACTAATTGCTATCTCTTCTAGTTCCCTTTCGCTTGTGATAAGCTGCATTATGACCTACTTCTTTACATTGACGACAATTATACAAGCCTCTTGAAGAAGTTTCTCCCTAATTTTGCTTCTTTTCTATAATACTCATAAAATGATGCTTGAATAGTCTTCCTCTTCTGATAATACAAGGTAGATTTTGAACACCTTGTGGAGCTTTAATACTAATTGTTTCATTGTCTAATACTTCACAATCGTTGTTTTCATTATCTTCTTCTAATAAGATTTGGTTTTCATCTACAGCACTATTAGTGGTGGATTCAGAAAATTCCTGTAAAGTGAAAACAGCTTGTGTACGAATCGGCTATAAAGGTCTTTTTTTCTTTTTTTTGTTCTGCGTTTCATTATTATATTTATCTCTTTCATTTTTTTTTCTTGTTATACAACCTTGAAGTATTTAATAATTTCATTATCATCACTATCTACTGCCAACAATGTCGTCTTACGGCTAATTCCCAAATTTTACTGTAATAATTTCTTTTTTGCAAAGCTTTTCTTGTAGTCAGAGTTTTAACTGAAACTGTAGATGGCCTTTTAATTGGGAGAATCTCTTTATCTTGACTTATGCCAATATTAACTGTTTTATTATTAAATATAATATTCTCATCTTTGTAATTTGATTTTCTTGATAGGAGTCCTTGTATCATCGTGAAGGAATCATTAAGATGTGAAAAGCCACAATTTTAGAATGCATTATTACGTGAAAATAGTGTTGACAAATAATTCCTCTTGAAGCGATCATAAAACATGAACATAAAAAAGATAATGGGCTTAAGATAACTATAAAATATATAAATTGATTTTTCTTTACGGATATCAGAGATTCTTTTACGTTTTCACTTCTAACTTCATCTATAATATCCCAAAGAGTAATTTTGCATGCATTGTAATTATCTTCAAAAAACCATATGATGTTTCTTCATCAATTTCTTGTTCAAAGTTAAGGTCATCAGATGTTAGCTTAATTATATTAGCATAAGAAACAAACACTGTATCATCTCGTCCTTAATTATACTACTAATAGCATCTGTAAGATATTTGTCAATGTTTTTAGCTACTATTGGGAAAAGATCATGTCCAGTAGTAGGTATAGTAGCGAATATTGTTGAGTCTTTATACTGATAGAATCTTTTCTATTGTGTCTTTGTTTTTAAATATTCATCAAGATGATCCACAAGTTCACACAATGTACAGTTGGATTTGATTTCTTTTTTTATAACCTAATTATAAGATTCGACTCAAGATGTACTTTTTATACCAGCTGTAAATATTTTTGAAAAGTATGCATGAGCTCAAGACCGCCTACTTAGATACAAGATATGCAACAAATAATCTTTTGCTATTTGAAGCATATCATTCCAGTGTTTTTAAAAAAAAGGCTCACAGAGACTATTATGGCATTGATAAAATGTTTTTATAAAATCTTCCCATTTGTCACCAATCTTATATTTGAGATTTTTGGGTAAATTCTGCCTAATATAAAAGATATAGTGTGCAGTATATATCTTGGAAAAAGTAATTCGTATTGCAGTATTAAGTGCTGGGTCTGATCAGTAAACATAACTAAAGGCTCCATTTGTGTTGTATTTTTTATGCAAGTTAGAATTCAATTATGGGTATCAATAGTTTCATTGCTTACTAATATCTGACATACAAGTTATGTTCTTCCATTGTTATCAACGATTACAAATAACCCTAAAGGCATTTGATATATATTAGTTTTAGCCATATTAATGTTGATAACTACATGTTGATCACTTCAGGTGACATTCAAAATTATCATATAAGTTGATTATCCTCATCTAATTCAAATTCTACAGACCACCTAAGATCATTCATTTTATTTGCTAGCAAGTAATTAAGCAGGTCTTATGCATCATTTGTCCTATATGTATTTTCTTTTCTTTTAAATTATTGAATTGCATTATTAAGGTTACTATCCTGAGAATACAAATAGGAAAACGCTGTCTTAATATGTTCTACTGTGCTGTAATTGATAGGTTCCCATATTTAGTTATTATCTCCACTTCTCTTAAAGCATCTTCATTAAGGGAACGGTATTTAAGTCTGAATTCTTGAGCATCCAAGTTGATATTATGATTGTGCTCATTTACAAACATGGTAATAAAGATATAAGTTTCAGTTTTTCTGTAAGAAAGGTTTATGTGCCATTGACAGTTGACTTTTATTGTTTTTGTATTTTTTTGCATACTATTTTGAGTATTCATTTGATTCTTATTAAGCTTGTACTTTTCTCCAAATTTATAAATGAAAGTTCGTTTGTAAATTTGTCCAACTTTATTTTTCTTTACTCAATATTTAATTAATGCAAATCTATTTCGCTTCCCATAGTCTTCAAAAAAGTCTCCACTTCTGCCCAAGAATTGAATACAGTATTTCAGGTATATCTTCTGATATTACTATCACCTTACTGCTTGTTTAACTGGCATATTATCATAAGGGTTTTCTGAATCTTGGTAAGTTAATATCTCATTATCGGTTTTCTCCTTGATATCATTATTGGGTAATGCTTGTATAGAATCTTCAGCAATATTATCAAAGCAAACGTATCTTTCCATTTTCATCAGCTCTTCCAGATTATAGTTCAAAAAGTTTGTTGTAATGGTCTCATATGATTCCATTTTTATTATTAAGATAATAGGGCTTTAGATTTAGTGAGGAGAAAATGATAAAAAAAATGTGATAAGGTAAAGACAATAAAAAAATCTGACTTATAAAGCTCTAGGTTTGGTAAGATGAAAGTGATAAAAAAAAAACCAGACTTATGAGGTCTAGATTTGGTAAAGTGATAGCAATAAAAAAATTGGGCTTGAAAGCCCTAAATTTAGTGAGGTGAAAGTGATAAAAAATATCAAGACTTAAGAGGTCCTAAATTTGGTTGGCTGAAAATGATAAAAAAATTAAATTTATGAGACTCTAAAAATTTGGTGAAGTAAACTGAAAAAAATCAAATTTATGGAGCTTAAATTTGATGAGATAAAAGTGATGAAACAAAATTAGCACTAAATATAATTTGTGATTGTTTGGTATGCAATGAAATATGTGTATTGCATCATGTAAATTTCCTGGTATGTGATCTAATATTTCATCACATGAAAGAATAATTTTTCATCATTAATTTAGCAGCGATTATGTAATTATAACTAAGAAAGTGCTACTACATTTGTGAGTAGCTTCCTTTGTGTCATATTAACAAAGTCACTTATTTATATTCCATGATCACGTGATCACAGGATTGTGTATATTTAAAGGCGAAACTAAGTATATCATGTTGAGTTATAATTATTAACAGAGGCAATAATTAGCGACATTGCTGGGTACAATGCATATATTTATTCAAAAAAAAAATCAATTTACACATTTTATAGTTATTTTAAGCCCATTATCTTTTTTATATTTATGTCTTATGATCGCTTTGAGAGGAATTATTTGTCAGCACTATTTTTGTATAATAATGCATTCTAAAATTGTGGCTTTTTACATCTTAATGATTCCTTCACGATTGTACAATGACTCCTATCAAGAAAATCAAATGTACAAAGATGAGGATATTATATTTAATAATGAAACAGGTAATATTGGTATAAGTCAAGATAAAGAGATTCTCCCAATTCAAAGGCTATCTACAGTTTCAGTTACAACTCCGACTACAAGAAAAGCTTTGCAGAAAAGAAATCATTATGGTAAAATTTGGGGATTAGTCTGTGAGGCAACATTGTTGGTGGTAGATAGTGATGATAATGAAATTATTAAAATACTTCAAGGTTATATAACAAGAAAAAAAATAAAAGTGATGAATATAATGATGAATTGCAGAGCAAAAGAAAGAAAAAAAGACCTTTATACCCAATTCATACACAAGCTGTTTTCACTTTACAGGAATCTTCTGAATCTGCTACTAATAGTACTGTAGATGAAAACCAAATCTTATTGGAAGAAGATAATGAAGACAATGATTGTGAAGTATTAGATGATGAAACAATTAGTATTCAAGCTCCACAAGTTGTTCAAAATTCACCTCATATTATTGGAAGAGGAAGACAATTCAAGTGTCGTTTTATGAATAGTATAGAAAAGAAGCAAAATTAGGAAGGAACTTCTTCAAGAGGCTCGTATAAATGTTATCAGTGTAGAGAAGTAGGTCATAATGCAGCTTATCACAAGCAAAAGAGAACTGAAAGAGGTAGCAATTAGTAGAAACACCAAAATTAGAATATAGTTATGCAGACTTATTTTCTAATTAGTCTGGTTCTCATATTGTGATACAAATTTTTCTAATATATATCGTTATAGTTAATGTTAGCTGTAGACAAAGCAGTTTCATATATATACAATTTGTCATTCATTGCCATAATTAGTGATGGTCAAAGTAATAATTATGTAATTGAATAGCTAAAATTTAACTATTAGTTATTGCTGAACGAGCAAAAATGCAATTTCAATTTATAAGTTGATTTTTTGTGATATATGTATTTGACCTTAAACTTCGATTGATCATGCTATATTATAACTAGTACCATATTGCTTTATTACTGCCATTTTATTATTTTTAATAAGTATAAGACTAATTATTACATAGCTTAGAACAACCCAGTTAGTTATAGTTCTTTAAAGCGCTTTATAATACAAGGCTCTGACTGCAAATAAAATCTAACAAATTTAGCGAATATTGGATATAATGTTGACAAAAAGATTAGAATCAAAATTTTTAATATATATAGAATTAATGTAAATGTACCTGTAGGGTACATTAAATTTTTTTATACCCTTTATTTTGATTATATGATATTATATACAAAACAGTAATACTGATATTGTTTATATTAGTTTAGAGTTAGAGTGAGAACTATGTTAGGGTTAGTATTTAGGCAGTTATATAGTAAAATTGTTTAAGGAAAACTTTTTATAAATGCACAGAAGGTGTTTAATATGCAATTTCTTGCGAAATTAGCGATTTTTGTCAAAACAACTGTTTGTTTTGAATTTTTCTGATTGTGTAATGTTACATCTGATTTTAATTTTATGGCAATCTATATAGGTCATATGATGCGGATACATATACCTTAGTGTACATATAAATAATCCTATATATATATATATATATAGTTTAATTAAATTTAATCTAAAAAGTGATAAATAATCACATTGTATTCTGAGTACAAAAATATTTATTTTACAGGGCACAATGCCTAATTAAGTCCTATAAAAATTGTGCCTGTATAGAGGTCAAATTTTTATATTTTATATATATTTGTTCTAAAAATTAGTGTGCTTATAATGAGGATGTAACTATATAGATAGTAACTGTATAAAGAATAGCTATGCAATAATGATACTTATATGCTATCTATAATGGAAGCTAGCTTTAGAGCTTTTCGAGTAGGAGTTTTAGCACGAATTTTTTTGCCTAGATAGAAGTCAAATAGATGTTTTTTAAGGTGATTAAATATTTTCTAGCCATATCTGTTTGTAATTGTGTATATTTTTCTATTTTTTCAGAGACTGGAAAGTTAGCAACCAGTCAAATGTTGGATTATTTTTGTTGTTAGAAGTGTTGGTGTTCTGTTGGTTGAAGTGGGAGGAGGTACTTGTATTTTGTTAATTAAAGGTAATATCTTTAGTATTATCTGGTTGTTGTTCTGGTTATTGTAAGTAGGATTGTTGTTGTTGTATATCGGAAGTGTTAGTATGTTTTTGTTGTTGCTGTGCAGTATTTGTGTTGCTAGATGTAGAATTGTTGTTGATATTCATATTATCATTGGTGTTACTTCCTTGTTCAGTTGAAGTTAGGGAGCCAAGTTCAGAAGACAAAGGATTTTTGGGTCTATACTCATATAAGGATTGTTGTAGTTTTTTAATAAATAAGTTTGCACTGGTTGAAGAGCCTTGTTGAGGATTGTAAGAGGAGAAACTTTGTTGTGTAGTAGATTCAGTTTCAATGCAAGATTTGTGATGAGGTTTGTCATTAAACAATATAGCGTCGGCTGCTAAGTAGTGTAAATTATTAGTTGTTTGCACATAATGGTTTTTTACATTTGGCACATTTATGATGGTATATGTCAGGTGTTGGGAATGCAGTTGGAGAAGGAGGAATAAATTGAGTAGCTTGCTCAATTTCTGCTGCAATATTTCTAAGTTTCTTGGTGTTTTTAACAGTAGTTGTATTTGTGTCTTTTTCGTAGACTTTGTTGTTTTGAGAAATAAATTGAGTGTGGTATTTACCACAGATACAGGTAACGGTAGTTGACATAAGTGGAGCTTGAAAGAAATGTGTAGTTTTGGTCTTTTCTCTGAGTTCTGTAGAAATACAATTGGTAGGTCGTTTGTTAGTAGGAATTAGGCGAGATACATTAGCTGTATCTTCTAAGATTTCGATTCCATAACTATTTGGATGATTTTTGTGAAAGTAATCAAGATCAATAGTATTTGGGCTTGTGCTTGTTAAGGTAGGCATCTTGGTAATAAGTTTGCTTAAGGACTAGACTTTGATTGGCTTAGTAAAATTTTTTGTAATAAGACTTTAAAAATTTTAGTATAGTGAAGTTAAAATTTGACAAGGATAGATTAGAGCAGGGGTTGTTGTGTTACTACTGTGGCTGGTGTGGCTTGTGTAACCCTGTGTAACCATGTGTAACCCAAATTAGTCTGGAGTAGTATGAAAGTGTGGCTGGTGTGGCTGGTGTAACAAAAGAGTTACATGTAATATTAGAGTACAAAGGTTGTATAAAAATAGTAGTAGGTAACAATAAATAAAAATAGCTTAGAATTAATACTTAAGTTACTATTTTAGGCAATTTGATTGATACAATAGAAAATTTAATTAAATCTAAATTTGGAAGTAACTTCCCGTTATACAAAAACAGGTTGAGAAAAAAAAAGTTGGGGGTAAGGAAAAAAAAAAAAATTTTTTTAAGAATTTTTACCAGAGAGCAAAAAGAGTTTTTTGTTAATAACTTGGTTAATATTAGGCCAAAAATTTCTGTTGAAGACTTGTTCTGACTGGGTTAGTGAGCTTAACAACCTGTCTTAAAGCTGCCAGATAGGTTGTAAAAGCAGTTTTAAAAAAATAATTAAAAGTTTAGATTTTAAAACCAAAAATGGTTTTTGTAGCGTTTTGCTACGAGTTTTTAAGATAAAGGCTTGAAACTTTTAAATTATATATAAAATTTTAAGCTGAGCAATTTTACTTAGATTGCAATAAGTAGTTATCTTAATAAAATAATGTGTTATTAACAGTTTTTAACTGGCGAATTTTTAGTTAAATTTTGTGTAAGTGATTGACGATTTATGTTCTTATAAGAACATATTTATTTAATCTAATGTTCTCAAAAATTTTTTTATGTTCTCAAATAAAAATTTCTATCTCTCTCTCTTTATTCAATTATAATAATGTTTCTAAGTTCAGTTCAATTTAAGTTCATGTTTAAGTTCAATTATACTAAACTAAACTTTAAATTTTACAAATCTTTGAAACTGAACTAAATTTTAAATTTATGAATCTAAAAAGAACTTAAAATATATTTTTTATATGTATAGTTAAAGCTTGATATAATGAATTTTTATATTATGAATTTTGTCCTATAATGAATTATTTAATTAATTTTAATTTTTTATAGAATATTTATAATTTATATGGGTTTATTGATATCTGAAATACTATGTCTCAATAAATTGACTAAGAAACAGGAGTTAGGTAGGTTAAGTAAAAGTGTTTAGAACCCCAAAACCTTGTGTAATTAAAATTTTAAACTATTATATCTAACCTTTGTTTCAGGATTAAACTGCATTTAACTCTAAATTTTGATAAAAAAACTAAAAACAGTTATAAAATAGAGGTGGTTATTAATAATCTTGGTATAAACTACATTTATTCTTTTTATAAATAGAATAATTAAATTTTTTTTTTTTTTTAATGTTAAGGTGACCATTTTGGGATCTGGCATGTTTTATTGAACTTTGGATCGAATGCCAGGTTAATTACATGAGCTACCCCTAACTTTGTTACATTAATGAGGATACATTCTAGCCACATGTACAACTTTTGGTTGTCTATTTAAGCAGTTTTGCATATGTAACCCATATGAACTACACTAGATGCTGTACCTGTAACCCACTATTACTTGAGTTATCCAATTAAACCCTCTAATCAACTTAGCGCTGTCGGGATATTCTCCTCAAAGAGGAACTGCCGTGTAAGCCCCTTAGAACTTTAAAGCGGACACACACTACCATATAGAGAGGTCCTTTATCCTTGTGGTAAACCTACCAGAGTAGTCCATGTCCTATACATATATCACCTAGATTTTTGGTAACTTACACCTAGGCCACAACCAAGTACTTGCAGCTTTTTACCTCTGCTATCATTACCTACTCTGTGCCCTTGCAAAGTTCACCCAAACCCCAGCACACACTTTACAGACTATCAACAGTACTTTGATGCCAACCATCAGCTCTCTAAACTTTCAATCCAGATGGCCTGGAAGGGACCAGTGGGCGTCCTCTGGTATTCTGAATGAATCCTTTTTCCTCCGGTTAATCTGGCAGCCTGGTTGGTGTAGTGCTTACCAAACACTCGGTCCTCGTTCAGTTTGACTTCAGTGTCCAGTTCCTCAGATGATAATCCTTTATGTAGCATTGTCAAAGATCTGTGCTACCTCTCTACTTGAGACATCCTAAGCGGGCTTCCATATTCCCCGATCTCTTAGATTTATTTGGCTACTTCACTCGGGTTTCGTGTAATTCATACATTGCACTACATTCCACAACCTCCCAATACGAGTTGGTGAGACCAAGATTACAGTGCTGACCCAATCAACATGTTATACAGTTTTACCATAACGCATTTCCACAAATTCGAATTTCGTTGCAAGTGGGATTCGAACTCTTGTCCTGCCGCTTAGAGGTGTGACAACTTACCAACTACACTAAGTCGCCACACCCAATAGAATAATTAAATATAACTAATTTTTCATAATAAGTCCTACTATAATAAATAGCAAACAGAAAGTATATTATAAATATAATAAAATATATTTAATTTTATCAAATTTTTTTAGAACTTAATAATTTATCGCAGTGGCGATATATCACTAGTCTCTTGATTACATAATCAACATTACATATTTCATAATTTTAATAAAAAGCCTTCTGCATTTTATAATTTATCGCTGTAGCGATATATCACCAATCACAAAAAGAAGATAAAACTTGAACATTTAATTAATAATTCTATATGTAGAAGCCAAGTTATATGCAGTTTTTATAATAAAAAAAATAAAAAAGTTAAGCCACAGTTAAGAAACTATCAATTTTATTAGTTAGTTAAAGACTGGCGGCATATCGCCATGGTAGCAAAGAACAAAACCCAAAAAGAAAAAAAAATTTAATTGCTTAAAAAGTTTGTTGAAAAATAAGTTGATTACTTGAAAGTATAATCCTAAAAAAAATTGTCAATTTGGCTAATAATAATAGAATTATTATTAACTCATTTTTCTTTTGCAGCACCATGATCTATTATATTATACCATCTTGACAGTTCACTATAAATATAAGATACAGATGGTCTATTAAAAGGATTAAGCGCAATACATAATCTATTACATATTTGAATAGTTAATGCTTCATTGTTCAAATAGTTAACGCTTTATCACATTCAATATCATAATGATTGGTCTTCTTGTAGATATCTCATTTGTAATGATATAGCTATTATCTAACACTTCTGATGTGATGTAGGGTAAAATGCTATAAATACTATCCTAGAACTGCAATTTTAAAATATTAGATCCAACTAATATGAAAAAAATAAAAAAAGAAAAAAAAAGAGCAAAAAATAACAAAGCATCAATAAGCTTTTCAAAATTATGATGAAATTAGTAACTCCATGTCAAAGCATTCGTTATTGCTCATAATATACTATAATTTTTTGCAAATCTAATTTCTCATTCATAATCTATACCTATATTAAATGCAACAGGAATATTATAATCCGAAAATAACTCTCAAGTATATCACTTTGATATTTTATAGATAGCATTGTTCGCAACCTTCAATATGACTCAATATTCCTAATCGATCAAGAGCTTTTTTTATTACTAGCTATATCTTGCAAAATTAACAGACTTCTATAAGTACTTCACTAAACTTTTGCTGTAGTAATATGCTCAGGTGTCATTGTCGAATCAAATATTAAATAGTTTTGTAAGCATAATATAAAAGAGAGGTAATTAACAAAATAAATAAATTTACTTTGCAATTTTTTTGATAATGGCCTGCATTTCCACATTTTTTACATTTGCATTGATATTTGATTTTAACTTTAGGCCCACAACCTTCATATAAGGATATAATTCTTTTACTACCAGGTGGTCATCCCTTCCAGAATATTCTTTAGATTTTTTAATTGAGGTATTTTAGATTTTTCATCATTAGTATCGTCTGTAGATGAACTTTCACCAGAATCTGACTGCTCATTAATATTTTCCTCAACAAACGCTTCAGTAGACCAATAAGTTGCTGTAATTTTAATTTATTCTGCAATGCTTTGTTGAGAACCTTTTTATATATGCTGTGTAATTTTCCATAAATAGTTTTTTGTTCAAGAATGGTTAGATTTTTCTACAAAAATCTTTTTCAGCCTGGTCAAAATTACACAAAACGTCACCACACCATTTGAATGCTGTGTAATTGCTTGATTATGCTCAAACTTGTCTGCTTGTAAAAAAGGCTCTTCGGAACTATCTCTGCTTTCATCATACTGGTACCACCAAGTTGAAATTAATCTAATATGAAAGTAGGCATTTTGTGTAGCCAACATTACCTGAAAAAAATGTCTACAAACAATTCTTTGCTGAATAGCAGAAAGACAAACGCAGAGATGGCTCTGATTTTGTAACAAAATGACATGATGTTTGGTTTGTAATAAGTTTCCAATATTTATAGACCAAATTTCTTTAATATTATGTGAACCAACGAATTTGATCATTCTTTTTAATGTCACTTGTAGGATATCGACAGATACTTTATTGTCAGATATAAATTTACCTATTATTTAATTATATTTGTTAACCTCACAATAGTTATTCAAAAAAAATTATTTGCTTATAAAATATTTTTTCTGTGAAAATTTGATCAATTTAACCTAGTACCTATATTTTCGTGTAATAACGCTATGAGCGTTATTTCAAATTTTAGTTTGAATTAAGCTTAAATTAGGCCAAATTTTGAAATTACACCTTGTGCATTATTAAGCAAAAATATGGTGTATAGTGATAATCCAATCTAATAACAAATTTGGATTGGTAATGCTATAGTCTCAACTTATATTCACATAATAGCTATAGAAATATTAGTGAAAATTAAAACACATAATCTCTATAACTTTCTTTCTAATGCTATCTATCACCTTACTATTAGTCTAAACCTAAATATTTTTTTGTCAAAATAATTGAACATACAAAGATTGCAGCACTATATCTACACAATCATACTGCTTTATGTTCAAAATTGATACTTAACTAATATTCTACACTATAAACTAGTTACTCACCTCATTAATATTTTCTGTATCTTTCTAATTAGCCAAATTTGCAACATAATAAAAGAGCCTGATTCATTTCATCACAATGAATTTTTAACAAAGAGGCCGTGAGATATTTTTAAAGACATTTATCAACTTTCGTATACAAAAAATTAACTTGATGTAGATTTCATATAGTGGATATTGACAATCTCCAAAATTTATATTCATTTTCCTTATTTTGCAAGTCAAGAAGTCTTTGAATTTTACTCTTAAAATCACACAACAAAACATTTGAATTGTGCAACAAGCACTTTAAATATCAATTTATGGATTCTACACAAGAAGTTGCTATCATACTGTCAGTGAATCTAAAGCCGATAAAGCAATGAGCCTAATATGTCTTGATTTATAAAGAAACTCCAGATAATTATGAGCATTAGAGTAGTTTTCTGTAAGTTTATTATATCTTTGTTAGAAGTCATCTTCTACAAGACTATCATGGCAAAGATAAAAATCACCTAAGAACTTTTGATAATCATCATCCAAAACTTTTCTAATATTTTTGTGCAAGTTCTGAGTGAGATGATAAGCACAATGAATGGGTAAGTTAAAGGAAAGGTTTGACAAATAGCAGAATCTACCACTGGATCTGCATCAGTAAGAATAACACCTGATTTAAAGATCAAAACTATTAGTAAAAATTCAACCAGTTAACAAATATGTATATACTCAATAATTGATCAATTATTTGCAACCAGAGTTGTAAATAATCAATTTGAAAAATTTTTATCAACTTAAACTAACCTGGATATATACCAGTCACTTCTAATAACTTGTTAAAAATCCACACATGAAAGTTAATAGTTTCATCAGCTATAAGACCTTGAGCAAGCAAGATATTGCGACGATCTTTATTAAATCCTACAAACAATGATAGTGCCATACTATATCTGTTGGTTTTGTGGGTTACATTGTTAAGAATACAATCAGAATATTGGATTAGTTCTCGATCTGCATTGGTGTCATCCAAAATAAATAGGTTAAAACATTATCATCATCCCACCCACATACTACAAACCACTGAGAATCAATCTTCTTATGATGATCAAGCCAATTTAAGACTTGTGCTACATCATTTGACAATGTTTTATGTGTTAGGCAAAATTTGTTAATGGCAGCATAAAGATCCTTTGGAAAAATAGGTTGTAAGGAATATTTATTTTCTAAAAATTTTCTTTGTACAGTCATATCAAACTTGCATAACACTGTCATAAACTTAATGTCTTCTAATATTTCATTTGTAAATTTTTTAGATTCTTCAAATTCAATCATTGACCTATCTAATTTATGGTTATGTTTGTCTTTCATCTTGTTAATAAACACCAACACCTCTGGGTTATTAATTTTAGAAAAAGAAGCATTAATTAAAAAAGGGCACCCCACCTTTTTCAAACCAGTATCTTTCTTCAAATTTGAGTCATAATTCTGATTATAAACACATATAAATGCCCATTGTCGAACTACACCTTCTTCACAATGTATCTGATCTTTAATTATACAAAAACCTTGTTTTCTAGCCCATTTCTTTAAAAATGATTTATAACAATCCCAATTTGGAAAAGTCTTTTTTCATTAAAAACACTACATTCAAGAGTAACCACTAACATATTATAGATTGATTTAGAAATCATTCCACAATTAATAATAACATTATATTAAATACAATATAGTATGGGCTAAAGAAAGTCTGGATATTAAATGTTTTACTTATAAAAATTTTTTTTATATAGGATATTTCCAGCACAATACTATTCTAAGGCCTCCAAAAATATGAATATTTATATAATAAGGTTTTTTAGGCCATGCTATACAGTACTTACCTGTAGTATTTAAAGAAATTGGTTCTAATTTTTCTTCTGAAGCTACTTCTAAAAATGGTTTGTCCATACTTGTTTACTTTTAATTTCAAAAAAGAAAAAAGGTTTGAAGCTACAAATTTTTAATTAAAAGAACAAAATATGTCATTATCTAATTGTCATCAATGCAATGTAATAGACTGTAAATTGAATACAATGAATAATTATATTTAAAGATCGGAGTAACACAAATTTATACAATGCATTTAATTTCTACACATTATATGTGATCATCAAATTCGAAATTAAATATTGTATATAAATATAAATTAAATATATTAAATATTAACTTAGTTTTTTTTTAGGGTATAGCATTATATAGCTATAGCAATAAATTATAATATTCATTTTTTATTATACCAAATTTAATATAGAAAAGTCACTTAAAATTTTTGATTACATAATATAAAAATAACTGATTGGCTATTAACAAAAGATAAATTTTAAAGCACTTAGTAACATTCTTATTTATTTTCCAATTAGAGGTGCAGGTATAACTTAAATCATTGGGACATGCTGTGTTAAAACTCAGTTACAACTAGTTACAACTTGTTGATTAAATATGTGGCAAATCGAAAACTTGCAATTTTACTAATATAATTACAGCACGCCGTAACTTATTTATATATCATAACCTGTATTGTATACTATAACTTGTTGTAACTAGTATGTACCTCCCATATACATACGTATATACATGCATACAAGATTTTTACAATTCTCACAATTTAAAAAAAATAGAGAAGACAAAGCCTATAATTAATTATCATTACAATATGTTATAATAGTGCTTTAGAGCACTAACTTATTAATTGTTATCATCACTATATTATATATTATATTAATGAAATCTATGCTATTATATATACATATTTAAAAGCAATATATTAAATGTTTATATTAATTATTTTCAAGCATTCGAGCTACTAAGCCTGCAGGATCATAATTAGTATTTCCTGTATCCATTCGTTGCATACTATTGCTTGATGCTTTACTTTGCTCCTTAATAAATGAGTCATTATTACCAATAAATACTGGACTTGAAATATCGACAGCTTCCTCAATTGATAAATTTGTACCATTAATATTGTCTAGTTGTAGTTGGCAAGATTCAGAAATATGCTCAAATTCTTCACTAAAGTTTTGATCAATAATTTCTAATTGACTTAGATTAATTATAGATCCATTTACACTGTCTTTCAAGTCACATTCTAACAATTCACTACTATAAAAACGTAATTCTTTTTTAATATTGGTATAATAAAATGTATAAATTTTCGCAATTGCTTCTAAGTGTGTAATATTGAGTCTTGTTCTTCTATACTGAATATCCACTTAAGGGTTGAGAAATTACATTCACATACAGCTTGTAATAGTGGTATAAAAAAATTTTAATGGCAAGCTCAATTAATGTATCCTTTTGTGCATCAATACTAAGCCACCATTTTAGTGGCAATTCTCTTTCTTTTTGAAATGTTTGATTATATGGTTTTTCTTTACATTTGTAAATACGAAGTTCTGTTAGCAAATCTTTATATGAAGCCTTGTTATATTCAAAATCTTTCCATATTGTAGCTGCTGTTTCACAAATGGCATAAAATAGACCATATTTTAATCCAATGCCTTAAATAGAATATATTAGTATTAGTATATATTATAATAATGTTATTACCTTAATATAAAGGGTGCAAATAATATACTAATTGATATAATGGTGTGAAGAATTCTTTAAATCGTAAATTGTATATTTTTATTGCTTGAGGTTTAAATGAATTCGTATTTGAAAGCTGATTTATAGCTGAAGCAATTCTAATTAATATAATATAGAAATCGGCAATTATAGCACAACGGCTTTCTAATTGATTTATCATCTCTTTAATTGGTCGCATTATTGATGATACATATCGACAATTATTAAAAAATTCGTGATCTTGAATCGCATTAAAAACATCATTATTAGAAATTGATTATTAATTAACTAAAATTAAAAAAAAATTAATTTATTTAAAGTATAAATATATTAAATATATTTATTTTTACTCACCTAATCAAAAACTGGTTGTGCATAAACCAAGGAATCTACTGTATTATATAATGAACCATTCAGGTTTTACAATATAATTTTAGTTCGCCTCCTTCAATATTCATAGCCATTAATCCTTTCTTTAAAAGGCTATTAGCCATCGACGAATGATGAAAAAAATTGATTATTAAACTACATTTTTTAATTAGCTCCTTTATCTCAATTGTTTCTAACAAATCTGAGGCAATTAAGTTAATTGCATAAGCACCACAGCATATGTCTAAAATGAAATTATATTTATTATTCACTAAATGTCTAGCCTGTCTTATATTTGAACCCTGATCAGTTATGATAGCAGCAAATCTTCTAACATCAATCTCATTTAAAACATTATTAATCTCATCAGCTAAAAAATTTCCAGTTGTTGAAGTTATGGAATAGTCTTTAAGCTGAAATAAATATTCACGACAACTGGGCGTTGTAATTATATAATTATAAAAAGATGCTCCTGAAGAAGTAGTCCATCTGTCGAGGGCTAAAAAATTATTCATACATAAAAAAAAAAAAAAGTAAAATATAAAATTTATTTACTTAATGTTAAATTCATTTCAGATTTTAGCTCATCATCAATCGATTTCTCAACTTTAGCCACCTCTCCATCAAGAATATGTTCAGAAAGAGTATACCGTGAAGGAGAATTATATCCATGATTTAAAGTTTTAAACATGTCAATTACAATTAGATTGTCTATTGTTTCGAAAGGAAACCTAGCACACACCCAAGCTTTTAAAACAGCCCGATCAATTTCTCTTTGTCTGTCATCTGATATTATTTCTATATTAGGTTAATCCAATCTAATATTATTTTCAATTTTATGTTTCATTTTTTCTTTCTCAGCTAAACCATTTCTTCAGAATTCTTTAATTTCTTGGGGAACCTTTTGACATTCCCATGCCAAATGATGTTTAAGCTGTTGTGGTCTTCTACGTAACCAAGTAGTTGGACAATGTTTACAACCTGCACCATAATGACCTTCTCCTAGATGTTCCCAAACATAAAAATAACTCCAAACCAAATCTGGATTAAGTTCACCACAATGTTTTTTTTTAGATTAATGTAAAATTGAAACATCATCTTCAGATAAAATGCTTTGATTAAAACTAGATAAAATTGAACTTTGAATAACAGAATTTTGTAATGTAGAGAATTGAGAAATTGGTGTAAAGGATTGACTTGCATCATAATTTAATTCAAATAAAAAATAATATTCTTGATTATTAGCTTCTTCAAATAATTCCATTGTGATAATAAAATTTTTAGCAAAAGTGATTTACAGTATAAAAAATTTATTTATTGATTTATTGATTTATTAAATTTTAATTATGAAGATTAATCATAATTATCACAGTGACATCATTAATTTGTTATGGCAAGTTATGATATTGATTAATTAGTTATAACAAGTTACAATATAGAAAGATCTTGGATATGACGAGGCTTTATGTGAAGATTTGCTAACAGAACTTTGTATTTACAAATTTC